TTTACAGTGAAGATGGCTTGCAGGCATCACCTTAATCAAGTGATCCAAGTGAACATCATCAGTCATGGGGCAAATCAAAACACATGCCACCTGAAATGATGCAGTGAGAACATCACTTCTGTGGTATTCCTACCAAAGATGCATAACCTAATGGAATCGAAAGAACACCAGAAAAACCTTAGGAACATTCTATGACATAACTAGTCTGTGCTCTTCAAAAGTGGCAAGGTCATAAAAAGTCCAGAAAGAAACAACTGAAGAAACAATCCAGATTGAAAGAGACTTAAAAAACATGAAAACAAAATACAACATGATTCTGAATTAGATGCTTTTGTTACGAAGGTTCTTATTGGGACAATCTCTGAAATTGAGTGGAATCTGATGATTAGGTGGTAGTAATGTATCAGTGTTAATTTCCTAATTTGGATAATTGCTTTGAGGTTTTATGTAGGAGAATGTCTTTGTAGGAATTACACACCAATATAATCAGGGCCATTGGGTATCATGTTGGCTATTTACTCTCAAAACAGTTCTGAAAAAAATAAAAGATCTTTGTACAGTACTTTTACATTTTTTGAAAGATTGAGATTATTTCAATTTTTTTTAAAAAGTGGGAAAACCTGTGTCATTTTGGAAGTTATATTTTGGTGAGAAGAAACAAATAAATAAAATATGTAGTATATAAAATTATTATAGACTTGATCCCTGAGGCACTCTCACATTTAGAAATTAAATAGCAGAGAAAGAGTGAGCAAGAAGGACTGAGAAAGAACAGTCATTGAAGTAGGATGCAAATAAGGAAAAGTCAAGGGAGAAAAAAACTGCTAAAAGTATGAAGTGGTTCACTTTGTCAAATGCTGCTGAGATGAACAAGGTGATCACGGAATTAGCACTGAGGAGTCGTGGGAAAAATCCTGGAGGAGCAGTTTCAGCTGGGTAAGGATGGAAGCCAGATTAGAGAGGGTTGAAAAGACAATGGGAGGTGAGGTCATGGAGTTGGTAAGTACAGACATCCTTCCCCAGAAGTCTTGCTGTAAAGGCAGCAGAGAATGGAATTGCAGTTGGAGGATTATGTAGGGTCAGTGGAGTATTTGTTGTAAGATGGGAGGTTACTAGGGCAGACTGCAGAATGATGGAGGTGATCCAGCTAAAAGGAACAAACTAGGGATGCAGGAAACAACCTAACTTGGAGTAGTGAGAGGGATGGGAGGGGAACTGCATGTGGAGTCAGTGCTGCTGGTAGGAGCAGAGGCTCTTCATCCTGATAATAGGAGGGAAAGAAGGAAGGATGGGCCTATGGGAAGGTATGACTGCTGCTTTGATGATGTGGAGGGGAAAACTTGCTATGAAGTTGCTTTTATTTTATAAGTGTAATATGAGGCCGTGTTATCTGCTGAGAGCAGAGGAGGGTGGAGGATAACGGGGCAGAGGAGGAGGCTGAATGTGTGTCTTGAGGTTTTGAAGAGAGAAGAGGAAAAGTAAAATAGTAACAGTCATTTTGGAGACTAGGGACATAAAAATGGAAGGATTGCAGAGAAGTAACTAAAATGGTCAGGTAGACATGAGGGTTCATTTGAGATTTATGGTTATGAATTTAAACTGAGACCTGTCAGCATGCTTGTGGATTTTTCTCCAGCAATATCCAACTATTTAAGTGAAGTAAGTGAGGATATAAGAGATAATAAGAGCACCAAATCATATTTTTTCAAATATTTGTATTTTTTTCTTCAGAGGCACTATAGGAGTCTAAATAAAAACAGACAAGGTATGTGTTGCAAAGCTTTTAATTAGAATGTTTGTGTTTTTCAAACATTATGCATAATTTCACATTTGTGATTAGTTAGCAATTATTTCAATACTTGTAAGCTCATCTACCTCAGATTTAATCATAATACATGAATGAAATTAATCAAATTAAGGAACAGCAATTTAGAAAGAAACACACTTTAAGAAAACAAAATTCTCAACTCAGGCAGTCTGTTTCTAGCATTTGGTATTCTACCCCTTTAAAAATTTCATATCACCCAACAAAAAGTGGTTATTTTTACTGTTTTTGGAGATGACTGAACAGATGAAGGCATCTGATGCTGCTGGTATTTTGCCCAAAATCAAGTGAAGATAACCTTTTGTTATATTTTTTACTTAATATTGGACATACTCATATCATTCAAGATTAAGTCTGGGTTATTTCTTTGATAAGAACCGAATGTACTGGAGATGTATTTGATAACCAAGGTTTTAGATAAATTTGCACCAGTATTAGCTCTATTTGCAAACTGAAAACTGTTGTAGGCTTAATATAAAATAACCACATTAGTGAACATTATGTCTCTTAGAAGAAAGGCCATATTTTGCTCCTGCTTCTGTAAAAATATTATTTCTTTGAAGGGGAAATAATGGTAGTGTGATCTTTCACTTAATTACTACTCCCTTAATGTGAGAAAGAGACAAAATGAGCTGAAGAAGGAAAATTCTGCAATTACACTCCACAACCTTGAACATACTGACTGACATCTCTGTTTTGACAGTGATTTCTCCATGCCACCCTGTAGAAAAAGATGAAGCAAATGGTGAAAGGTTAAAACATATCTTCATTGTAATATACATACTTCACACCCCTTGGGGAAACAAAATATTTTATCAATAGATAAAATAGTAAGATAGACTCAGTGATTGCTATTTATTAAATGAAGATATGTATACAAAGTACCTCACTCCTACCCAAATCTCTCAGTAGAGCATAGAATGCTGAACATAAAGATTGAGTAATGTGCGTTGTACAGCAGCAACTGCAAAGTGAATTCCACATTTATTTTATTTTATTTTAGTTTTATTTTTTCGAGACAGAGTCTCGCTCTGTTGCCCAGGCTGAAGTGCAATGGTGCAATCCTCTGCAACCTCCACCTCCTGGGTTCAAGCAAATCTCCTGCCTCAGCCTCCCAAGTAGCTGGGATTACAGGCACCTGCCACCACACCCAGCTAATTTTTTGTATTTTTATTAGAGACCGGGTTTTGCCATGTTAGCCAGGCTGGTCCCAAACTCCTGACCTCAGGTGATCCACCCGCCTTGGTCTCCCAAAGTGCTGGGATTATGGACGTGAGCCACCGTGCCTGGCCCACATTTACTTATTCTAAAAAGAATTTCAAGATATGACAAGGAACTGGTAGAGTGTGAAGAATCTTAAAACTCTAGAAATCCCCTAAAATAAATTGTGGAGTAAAAGAGTAAGTTTCTGGATCAGTTAAAGTAGATTGTTTCTTCAAGGTGTAGGTAATACATTATTTAGTATAAGCCAAAAGCTGCAATTTTTAGGTGTCATTAGCATAATTTCGTCTTTGAAAGTCTGCTCTCATTGTATATATCAACAGTAGAGCAAAATAGTTTTCTCTTTTAACACTTAAAACATACCATGCTCTAATGCCTTGTGGATCACTGACAACCCTCTTTGCACAAGTTACAGCATCAGCGATGTTATCTTGCAGCAAAGCTGAAAGACAGGTGGTAAGCAATAAAAACTTTATTAGATATTTTATTTTAAATTTAGGTTTAGCCAGCTTTATTCTGTTAGGCTGTGGAAAGAATGCTAAGATATTATTTTCTATAAGTCCATATATGTGTGATTGTTGGGGAAAACTTTCTCTTCATTCTCTCCCATTCAGCATGAAATGAAGTATTTTTTCCTTCATTTACCGAAGTCATTGGAAGTTCTAGAAGTATTAACGAAATGATTAAAGGTCCTCTTTGTACTAGACACTGTAAAAAAACACCTAGTGATATTTTACTCAGCAGTTCTATTACTGAAAATTTATCCAAAAGAAATAAGAAATGCACCCAAAGATGTATACACAAAACTATTCATAGCAATTTCTAAGAGGGAAAAATGGAAACAATCTAAGTGCTCAATAGTAACAGTTGGATCAGTAAATTATAGAATATTCATATATTAAAATTCTAGTCATTCTTTTCAAATGATGATACAGATTTGTATTTTTTCTCATCTGGAAAATGGAGCAAAAGATCATTAAAAACCAATTTGTATTTGCTGACATGCAAATAATTTTGTGTGATAAGAAGCAAATTGTAAAGCAGTGTGTATAATACAATTTAATTTTTGCAAAAGCACAGATTACTTACATGTTTGTATGTGGGTATATATATGTATGATGTAATTTAACATTCATACACATGATTGATATACATTCTGGAAGAATATAAACCAGAATTAGGC